GTCTGAGGAGGAGGCCAGGCCTGGCGCAGGTATGAGGTGCTGGGTCTGTCTGTCAGAGGAGGATCCTGGGCCTGGCGCAGGTATGAGGCCCTGGGTCTGTGTCTGTCCGAGGAGGATCCTGGACCTCACGCAGGTATGAGGTACTGGGTCTGTCTGAGGAGGCCTGCACAGGTATGAGGCGCTGGGTCTGTCAGAGGAGGATCCTGGGCCTCGTGCAGGTGTGAGGTGCTGGGTCTGTCTGCGGAGGCCTGCCACAGGTATGAGGCCCTGGGTCTGTTTTTGTCAGAGGAGGAGCCTGGGCATGGCGCAGGTATGAGGCTCTGGGTCTGTGTTTGTCAGAGGAACAGCCTGGGCCTGGCGCAGGTATGAGGCGCTGGGTCTGTCTGAGGAGGAGGTGGGGTCTGGCGCAGGTATGAGGCGCTGGGTCTCTCTGTCTGTCAGAGGAGGAGCCTGGGCCTGGCGTGGGTATGAGGCGCTGGGTCTGTCTGTCTGAGGGGGAGGCCGGGCCTGGTGCAAGTATGAGGTACTGGGTCTGTCTGTGTCTGAGGAGACAGGGCCAGCCATGGTAAGGTCTTCAGTTGAGTCTTGTGGCTCTGATCAGTCCCACATAGTCTGCCCCGTTGGTCAGCACAAAGAGTTGCCAGCGCCTGGCCTGCTGTCTTGCTTCCCAGAGGTGGGTTGGGCCCAGGCCCTCCATGCTGTACTGTGGAAGAGCATTGCTCTCAGGGGGCAAGTTTTGTGGCAGGAGGGTGGGGGGCGGGGTGTGCCAACCCTTCTGCAGCACCTTTTCCTGTCTCTCCTAGTGGGTAGGAGGACGCTACTCGCTGTGGTCAGCCATTGGACTCTCCATTGCACTGCATGTGGGTGAGTGTGTGTTTCAGTCTTGGGAGACCATGTTGTAGTCTACGGTCAGGGGTGGGGGTCTCATGCCCCTGAACACCTTTCTGACCCCACAGGCCACTGGCTTCTGTCCCTTTGGCTGGAACATTTCTTTCAGGTTAGGAGGGCGGGCCTGACTTTCTCTGGCGTTTGCAGGTTGGCCTTTCTCTCTACCCCTCACGCCTGCTGTCCCGTCGTTTCCCATGGTAGGTGAAGTTAGATCGGCCTTTGCGCTCGAGGCTGACTCTGGTTAGAGAGCCTTCTGTAGGCCCAGGTCTTCCCAGGTCCTGTTTCTTCTGGCTGCTCGTCAGCGTCAGCTTTTCCTTGGTTGCAAAAAGAAGCTGTGTCCGCTGCCACGAGGGCACTGGGCATGACCGTTTCTGTTGACGCTGCTTTTGTGTCGCAGGATTTGACAACTTCGAGCAGCTGCTCTCAGGGGCCCACTGGATGGTAAGTAGCTGAGGCTTGTGTTCTCTGCCAGAGACATTTGGTTGGCCCAGCTCCCTCCGCCCCTCCCTCCAGGGTGGCTGCTCAGCTCCCACCCCCCCTGCTCTGGTTTCAGGACCAGCACTTCCGTACGACACCCCTGGAGAAGAACGCCCCCGTCCTGCTGGCTCTGCTGGGTGTCTGGTACATCAACTGCTTCGGGTGTGAGACGCAGGCCATGCTGCCCTATGACCAGTATCTACACCGCTTTGCGGCCTACTTCCAGCAGGTACCAGCTGCCAGGCCAGGCCTTGGAGTCAGGTTCCTGCCCCTCCAGCGGCTTTCTCCCCCGACTGCCCTTGGGCGCAGCCAGAGCCTACTCGTGTTCCAATCTCAGGGTGAATCCCTGTCACCAGGGTCCGTTTGATGAGTGTTAGCCAAGTTTGACCACCGTGGGAGGGCATGACTAGTTGTCGTGGTGGCCTGTCAGGCCCTCAGGGCATGTGTCTCGCCTGGGTCATTTCTTCCTTGGCCATCACTCTGTGTGCCTGCCAGAGGGTGGGGCTGCCAGCGGGGACCCCTGTGGCTTGTACTGCCCTCATCCCTCCAGGAAAGCAAGTTCACACCCAGTCTGTGGTGCCCCTTTAGGCTACTCTTGGCCTTCTGCACCTCTGCAAATCTCCAGAACCCTTGGGGACCAAGCAGCCTGTCTCCTAGTCTAGATTCTTTTCCAGGCAGCCCTTCCATATCTGTCCCCAGTTTGTTTGGCGTGAACCTAGTTTGTGCCCTGCAGCCCTTGGGCCGGCACAGCAGACTTTCACCAACACCTGAAGCTGATTAAAGAAGGGGCCAGGGCTCCCCACAGCCCACCATCTGGTTGAGGTGGCAGATGTCAAAGGCTCTACACCCTGGATCCCCAGCCAGCCTTTCTCTTAAGATATCAGTTGAAGAGGGCCTCCTGGCTGGCTCGGTCGGAAGAGCATGCAACTCTTGATCTTGGGATCATGAGTTCAAGCCCCACGTGGGGTGTAGAGATTACTTAAATAAATTAATTAATTAAAAAAAAAAAAGGACATCAGTTAAAAATACTGTGACCTATTTCTGCTCTTAGGGAGGTCCTCCTCAGACCTCCATACCCACCTTCTCCTAGTCATACGTCCTTCCCTTGGTGGTGTAAGCCAGAAAGCTATGAGCCTGTGTCCTCACAGGTGAGGGGAGATAGAAGGGTCCTGCCTATGGACACCACACAAGGCAGGGCAGGTATGTGTGCTACGTCCCAGGCAGGATTTGGGCACAGTTCATGAAGAAAAGCAAGACTTGCAGCTAGAGGGCTGGGTTTCTGTCCCTGTTCCAGGGTGACATGGAGTCCAACGGGAAGTACATCACCAAGTCCGGCACTCGTGTGGACCACCAGACGGGCCCCATTGTGTGGGGGGAGCCAGGGACCAATGGCCAGCATGCCTTCTACCAGCTCATCCACCAAGGTAGGGCCCCCTGCCCGGGGCAGGGGTGCTGCTGTGGACGTGGAAGGCCCACCAGCAGAGACTTCTCCCTCGGGTGGCTCCCGTGGGCTGAGGTAGGCGCTTGGGTGACCATTGTACCCTTTACAGGCACCAAGATGATACCTTGTGACTTCCTCATCCCAGTCCAGACCCAGCACCCAATAAGGAAGGGTTTGCATCACAAGGTAAGAGCCTTGTCCTGCCTCTCCTCACACTTTCTTAGGCTCGCCTTCACCCAGGCTGCTTAGGAGCTGATGCATTAGTTGGCAGTTATATTAGTTTTCTGTTCCTGCCATAATAAATTACACAAACTTAGTGATTTAAAACAACACCCAGTTTTTATCTCGGTTTCTGTGGGTCTGAAGTCCAGCAGGCTCCGCTGGGTGTCTGCTCAGGGATCATTCTCAACTTCAACAAGCCACCTTGGCCTGTGGTGCCCTCCATCTCAGAGCCGGCAGTGGTGGGATGCGTCCCGCTCCAGCCTCGATTCTGTCCTGCCCCTTCTGTTGCATCTTTCTGACCGACTCATTTGTCTTCGTCTTCTACTTCTGAGGGCCCATGTGATTACATTGGGCCCACCTATCCCTGTCTCAAGGTCTGTTACCTTCATTCCATCTGTAAGATCTCCTTTGCCATGTAATGTAACCCACACAGGTATAACAGCAGGGAGGGGGCAAAGGTCATGGAGCCAAGATGGTGCTTACTACAGCAGCAGATGGGAAGACCATAAGATAGATATGGTAGGGGCACCTGGGTGGCTCGGTCGGTTGAGCATCTGACTCTTGGTTTTGGCTCGGGTCATCTCAGGGTCGTGAGATGGAGCCCCGAGTCAGGCTCCACGCTCAGCGGGGAGTCTGTTTGGGATTCTCTGTCTCTGTCTCTCTCTCAAATAAATAAATAAATCTTAAAAAAAAAAAAAAAAGAAAAACATAGATATTGCTAAGTTCTTAGCAGGGTCCTTGGCAAGTCATGCGTATCCCTTAAAGGGCAGTTACTGTTGTCACTTACTTGGCCGTGTTGTCCGGTGTGCCCTCCCATCCCCGCTTCGCTCCATTTTAGCTCTACATTGGGGGCTGGGACTAACCCCACCTGGGAAGTGCCAGGCAGTCTTGCCCCTGTGCCTGGAGCTCAGACAGGACTTCCAAGTGGAACCGGGTATCTCTCTTGTCAGATCCTCCTGGCCAACTTTTTGGCCCAGACTGAGGCCCTGATGAAGGGGAAGTCGACAGAGGAGGCCCGGAAGGAGCTGCAGGCCGCGGGGAAGAGTCCAGAGACCTTGGAGAAGCTGTTGCCACACAAGGTCTGCACCTCTCCTGAAGTGGGCTGTGGCTGGCATCCTGGAGTCAGAAGGATAAAGTTGTGGGGTCCGGGTAGGGATTCATGGCGTGCCTGGCTTGTCCTACCCAGTAGGAGGGACTGTCCTTACAGATAGGCATATCCCAGTCTCTGGGATAGGGTGCACATCCCTTGTGAGGATTTGGGGGTGATGACTAACCGGGGGACATTCCTGGGTGTTTTCTAAAGGTCTTTGAAGGAAATCGGCCAACCAACTCTATTGTGTTCACCAAGCTCACACCATTCATTCTGGGAGCCTTGATTGGTGAGTGAGTGGGGAAGGTCCTGGCCTAGGGTAGGTTGGACAAAGCCGGTCGAGCCTTAATGTGCCCCATCTGCCACCCCTATAGCCATGTACGAGCACAAGATCTTCGTTCAGGGTATCATCTGGGACATCAACAGCTTTGACCAGTGGGGGTGAGTTGCTCCTCCTCAAGGGGAGGGTAGAGAATGCCTATGGGTTGGCTTGTGGATTTCACTCGTGATGCTGGAACCTTCCTCTTAACCATTTTTCTCCTTGTCCTGGCAGGGTGGAGCTGGGAAAGCAGCTGGCCAAGAAAATCGAGCCTGAGCTTGACGGCAGTAGCCCAGTGACCTCTCACGACTCTTCCACCAATGGGCTCATCAACTTCATCAAGCAGGAGCGTGAGGCCATAAGCCAATAAACTCATGCCCGTCTGCAGTCCCTGTTGTGACTGGTCCTTCTTGTCACTCCTCCCCAGAGATGCCCTGCACAGTCCTGCCCAGAGCAGCCTCTGGTTGCAGGCTTGGAGCATAAGCCCTTTGGGGGAAGCTAGTCTGGAATTGCTACCCCGCCCTTCCATGTCCATGTGTCCCCTGTTTTACAGTCAGCTGAAGTGTTTCAGTGCAGTTGATTTTATTGACCATGTTCACTTTGTTCATGTACCAGACAGAAAAATAAAGATGCCACAAAGGAGGTTGTAGGCTCAGCCTCTTCTCATCTCCAGAAGTGGTGCTCTACACAGGAGTTAGGTGCCCAGTAGGAGTGATGTGCCTTGCTTGATTGAGGCTTGACTGTAAGTGGTGAGTAGGTCCAGAGTGGAGGATGGTCCCTTGAGAAGAGAGTGGAGGAGGGGGTTGGGGCACAGTCAGTGTCACAGGGGCAGCTTGGCTTCTGTAAGCAAATTCCTTCTCCTTCGTCCACTCCTTTGCTCTGTGACTTCGGAGGAATTGCACACTTCTGTTCACCGGATAGTTCTAAAAAGCTGCGTTAGATTAGGTCTATTTTGGGTGAATACCCAGTCTGGGTCAAGGGTGATGCTCATCTTCTGGCCAGATGCTCAGGTAATTCTTTCCTTTTATAAGACAGACATTGAAAAAAGGGATTTTGAACAAACCACCCTTTTATCTTCTATTCGAGATACCAAATAATATTTTTGGCCAACTAGCCAGAAAGGGAATTTTATTTAAAAAAAGTCGAGGGTGCCTGGGTGGCTCAGTTGGTTGAGGCGACTGCCTTTGGCTCAGGTCATGATCCTGGAGTCCCTGGATCGAGTCCCGCGTCGGGCTCCCTGCTTGGTGGGGAGTCTGCTTCTCCCTCTGACCCTCCCCTGCTCATGTTCTCTCTCTTTCAAATAAATAAATAAAATCTTAAAAAAAAAAAAAGTTGAGCAGAATGGACGGGTAGACTAGAGGCTGAGCTTCCAGGATCTACACCCTAGATCACGATACAGAATCTGGACAGGAAGACTGCTCCCCTTGCACAAAGCCCTGCTGTCCCAGACCCTGTCATCACAGCTGCCTTCACCCCATTCTTTCCTGGGTCGCCCACTTATGGGTTGTACTGTGGCTTGGTCATGTGCCTTCCTCAAGACAAGAAAAGACAGGATTTGTATTTTTTGCTCCCATATGGAGAAGGCAAACTGCACCCATGGAGGTTCAAAGGGAGGAATGTCTTACTTACAGAAAGTGACCATACGGGTGCAAACGTCTGCTTAAAATAATACTCAGAAATTGTTCGCACTTCTCTGTTGTTTGTTTTGCTTTTTTTTTTTAATTCCAAAAGCGAATGCCCACTTCTCACTTTGGTAGAGGTGACGTAAAGATGTTTTTTGACAGTCGGGCTCTGTTGAGGCTCCTGGTAACCGACCTCCTTTAGTTTTATTGCCTTTTTTTTTTTTTTTAATTTGTTTATTTGAGAGAGAGAGAGAGAGCAGGAGGGAGGGAGAGAAACTCAAGCAGACTCTGTGCTGAGCACGGAGCCCAACGCAGGACTCAACTTCATAACCCTGAGATCACAACCTGAGCCAAAACTAAGAGTCAGATGCTTAACCGACTGTGCCACTCAGGAGTCCCAACCCACCTGCTTTCTTAACGTAACTGATGAAAAGTGAAGGTCTTTTCCCATCAGAGGCACCTCCTCTATTACAAAAGAGCAAGCACAAAAAAAAAAGTCTGTAGAGAGAAAAATTCTAGGTGGCAGAGCCCCTCAGGCTAACTTGGCTTTACATGAGGGATCTCTTAGGAGTGGGACCACTGCTCCTCTAGGCCAGCCGCCAAGTCTCCTGTCATGCTTTATGCAGAAGGAACTTGCGCATATCAGTTAGATGGCCACATGTCCCTTGGCCCTGCCTTGCTCTCCTCCCCCCATCACCACCACTGTCCTCCCTTGTGGCTTCCCCTTGTCCTATGGCTGCCAGTGGTTGTGAGTTCTTGAATAGTGTGTTATTTAGGGTTCTCCAGAGAAATATCACCAGTGGGATGCAGATATATGCGAGGAGATGTATTATGAGAATTGGCAAACCTGATTATAGAGGCTGGGAAGTCCCACAATATGCTGTTTACCACAAGCTGGAGAACCAGGGAAACCAGGGCAGGTAGGTTTCAGTCTGAGGGTAGGAGAAGATGGATGTCCCAGCTGAAGAAGAAAGAGAATTCACCCTTCCTCTACCTTTTTGTTCTCTTAGGGCCCTCAACAGACTGGGTGATGCCCACCCACACTGGTGAGGGCAGATCTTTACTCAGTCTACTGATGCAAATGCTGTTCTTTTCTGGAAACACCCTCACAAACAATCCCAGAAATAATGTTTTACCAGCTATCTGGGCACCTCCTAGCCCAGTTAAGTTGGTACATAAAATTAACTGTCATGAAGAACTCTTCAGTGTGAGATTCAAGCAGCCTTCAAAGTCTTCATTCTGTACTTGCTCAAATAAATACAAACGGTGGGGGGTGGGGGGCACCTGGGTGGCTCAATTGTTAAGCGTCTGCCTTCGGCTCAGGTCATGATCCCAGGGTCCTGGGATCGAGCCCCGCATCGCTTCTCCCTCGCCCACTCCCCCTGCTTGTGTTCCCTCTCTCGCTGTGTCTCTGTCAAATAAATAAAATCTTTAAAAAATAAACTGGGAGCGCCTTGCTGGCTAGGTCAGTGGAGCACGCAACCCTTGATCTCTGGGTCATGAGTTCGAGCCCCACCTTGGGGGCAGAGATTACATGCATACATACAGACATAAATACTATCAACTTGGTTTGTGTGTCTGCCAGGGAAGTCCAAACCCTATAAAATCATTAAGTGGAATGCTTCAAATCTCACACATGCAAACACCTTTCTGTTAACACTGTTCCAAGGACCCCACAATAACGTCAGTTTCAAATTTGATGTTCTGTTGCCTCTGGAATTCCACAATGGGGCAGCAATTAACATCTTGAAAATTCATCTTAAGTAATAAGCCTTCATGCTGTGATCAGAGTTTGATCAAGGGGCTCTAGTCAGCAGTGTTATATAAACAGGTGACTGATGATGGAAAAAGCTCAGTAACTGCTGGAAGATGTTTTGCTGTAGTAGCAAGAATACCAGTTGAAGTTTGTTTCTTTTTGCCATAACCAAAAATACGTATCTTGGGAAACTTACCTAAAATAACAAGTATCTGCCAACTCATGCACCCTCTTTGGCTAGACCTGAAATGAACACCAAGGTCAGACTTCACAGTGCCTTCTAAAGCTTTTAAAGCAGATTGGCAGTGATAAACCAAGCAGCAAACTGGTTTCATCTCCAGGTCTGTGCTGGGGCTGGAGCCAAACATCATGAGGCATTTATACCCTGCTTGAAGGTGTCAGTCCTTGAAAACATACACTTCCTTTGCACACTATAGTATGAAGACTGCAAGAGTGCCTTTGAAATCTGCATTTTTTTTTTTTTTAGATTTTATTTATTTATCTGACACAGCGAGAGAGGGAACACAAGCAGGGGGAAGGGGAGAGGGAGAGGCAGGTATCCCGCGGAGCAGGGAGCCCGATGCGGGGCTCATCCCAGGAACCCGGGATCATGACCTGAGCCGAAGGCAGATGCTCAACGACTGAGCCACCCAGGCAACCCCGAAATCTGCATTTTCTAAAAAATCAGGTTGAGGTATAATGTACATACAGAAAAACGCACCTTCTTTTCGTGTGCGGTTTTGAGTTTTGACAAATGTATACGTCACATAACCACCACAGTTGAGATATACAGCATTTCATCACTTGAAGAGGTAGATTCCTGGCACCCCTTTATGGTCAATCCCTACCCTCTGAACCCAAACCCTGACAACAATTGATCTGATTTCTTCCTTTGAAGCTCACCTTTTCCAGAAGTTGGCCTTTTGTGTCTGGCTTCTTTCACTTAGCATGATGTTTTCAAAATTCACCGAGGTTGTGCCACAGGCATTTAAAAAAAAAAAAAAATCCCTTATGGAAAATCCCAAACATACAAGTCAAGGATCTCTGTCTGACGCCGAATTTCAAGTTACCAACTCATGGCCCGCTCCGCAATTTCCTCTGTAAGCATTTTGACGTGTACCTTGAAAAATCAAAACTGTTTTTTGTCTTAACGATAATACTATTATTCCACTTCAGGTAAAATCTTTTGGCAAGACTACTTCATACTAGATGGTGCGTACTTCCTACCTCGGCGCGTTCGGAGGCACAGAAGGTCTGGGGCTCCCGGATTTTGAGCCCTGCGCAGCTCAGGGGATCTAATCCTCCTAAACATAATCTTAAGGGGGCGGGGCCGTCTCGCAGGTGTAGCCAGTGCGCGTGCGCGGAGAGGCGCACCGCCTCGGCCGCCGTAGTTCGCCTTCCCACGTGGGTGCCTCGTAGTCATGGCGGCTTTTCGGAAGCCAGTGCTGCTCGGACTTCGAGACACTGCAGTGCGCGGCCGCCCCACGGGGCCGGGCGCCTGGACTGCTAGCAAGCTGGGCGGCCTTCCGGTGAGGTGGAGCGCCGGAGCCGGGGTCGGCGGGTGCTGGTGAGGGCTACGGGCTGAGGGAGGGGCCGAGGTCCCTGAGCAGAGCCGGAGTCTGAGCGCTTCCCCTGCCCTCAGGACGCCCTGCCGGCGGTAGCAGCGCCGAGGCCAGTGTGTGAACGTTGCAGGCAGCCTCTTGCCCTGGTCGTGCAGGTGTACTGTCCGCTGGAAGGCTCCCCGTTTCACCGGCTACTGCACGTGTTCGCTTGCCCCTTCCCCAGGTGCGGCCGCGGCGGGACGCGCAGGTAGGCGGGGAAGTTCCGAGCTGCCTCGGGGTTTTATGCCGAGTGGGCGGGAGCTTGGGGGCCGCACCTGCCGTACCGGATAGGGCTGGCCAGCTGGCTGGTGGTCAGCGATGGAGCCTCACTGCCATTTATTTCTTACCCCGAAGCTGGAAGGTGTTTCGTTCCCAGTGCCTGCAGATGCGAGAGAGGGAGGCGCAGGACGCTCAGGTAAACCGGTTGTGATAAGCATATTATGACTTGCTGTAATTTGAGGGTATTTTCTAGAATATTGTTTAAGATAAACTTTCAGCCGTGGCCTTTGGAAGTACGTTGGAATGGTTTTTGCACTTTTCTGAACTGTGAAGTGCTATCTCCTTAAGATTTTGTTCTTTTTTTCTTTTAATATACACTGGAGGCCTTGAGGCACATAATTCGCTGTTTCTGTTTGGGAAAAAAGTATGGATGTATACATATATGTGTTTGTGTGTAATACATATATATGTGTTTATAGTAAACATAGTTCCTGTGATACCTGTACATGTATATAGCACACAATCAGAAAAAAGTTTGAATTTATTGAATTAAAAGGTTGGGCAATTTGGTAGCTGCAGAACAAAATTCAGTCTCCTTTTGCCTGTAAATGTCCGCTTATGTATGTATATACACTGAGTTCTAAACGTGTGCCAGGCATGGTACCAGCAGTACCAGGAATGAAAAGATGAAACCAATGATGTCTGCCTATATTTGTCAGGGTTGGGTTGCAGGTAATAGAAAAACACTGACTTTTTAAAGCCGAGACAGAATTAGGTTTTTACTATCACTGGATAGGTTGGAGGGGGCCGCTCCAGGAACGAACCACACCTCAGAACTGGCCTGTCAAGGAGCTGTTATACCACCTACCCCACCTGCAGTCAGAAAGCTGAGATGTGATCTGGTGAAGCGGAAGCTGCCCTTGTTAGATCTTTTGGCTCCAGGTCCCTGCTTTATCACTTTTGCTTCTTGGCCTCTCTTTCCACCTCATTCTGTTTCAAGTTTGTGTCTCCCTAATGGACCTGATTAGCCAGCCCTTGATCATATCTGAACCCCTAGCTGCTAAGGAGTCTGGGAAATGTAGTTCTCTCCTGCTAGCTTCTGTAGTACATGAAGCACAGCTGAAAGAGTTGGGAATAGATGGTTGAAGAAACCACTGTACTACATTTGCCACGCTGCCCCTGGAAAGGGAAGAGACTTATTGTTACCTCCAGCATGCTTTTGAGTGCATGGGGACCAGGAAGTTGAATCAGAATGTGCAAGAGGGGAAGGTGCTGTGTGAAGGCTCCCTCGAGAAGGTGAAGGAATGTGGTAGCTCAAGCCAAGGGAATAGGTGAGATCGCTCAAGTGTGCTTGGGCTTCATTCACTGAATATTCTTCCAGAAACAGGAAAATGGCCTTGCCGCAGAGGATTGGTGTGAAGGTGCAGGTGACTGGGGAAGTGACAGTGAGGAGGCGCCGCCACCACAGCTTACCTTGGATTTTGGAAATGATTCCAGTAGTGCCAGAGACATAGACTGTACTGCCCAGCTGCAAGATCTCCACCTGCAGGATGCTGTCCCGGGTGCTGCTTCTCCTGTTTCTCCTGGGGAGGAGATGGCCTTGCCTTCTGAGGTGCCACAGTTCCTGCCATATTACATCTGTGTTGTGGATGAGGAGGATTACAGGGACTTCGTCAGCCTAGAGCACGCTCATAGCCTTCTGAGGGAGTATCAACAGAAAGAAGGAATGGATATGGAACAGTTGCTTTCCCAAAGGTGAGAACGTGTGCTGCTGAGTCTGAGAGGGGACTTGATCAGGAAGCTGCCACAGTAGGTACCCTTTGGTTTGATTCTAGTACTTGGGGAAACTTTTTCAAGCAGAGCTTGTATGTGTAGGACCTTTCTGCTTTGCTCCTCTTGGATGACAAAGGGAAACAGAGACAAGGCAATCTTACCAGCCACCCTTGAGTTAGCTGGGAAACACTGCTCTGTTTCTAAGTACCCTCAAGAAGATGAACAAAGAAGTTAGGGGTGACAGCTTGTACAGAAGAACGTGTGTTTACTATCTCTTTAACTTTATTTTTTGTCTTTAAATGATTGGCTCAGACAGGTAAGTTAGAAAAATGCCATTTGTTTTTTGACTCTTGGCTGTGGCTCAAGAACTGGCCTGGGACGTCAGAGACCCGCCCAGAGCTTCAGCCTCACCAGTGAAATGAGAGTCGTGTTGATATCTCTGTTGTCTGTCTTATCAGATGGTTTTAGGAGTCACTTGAGAGAATAGGTCCTAAAAGGCTTTATAAACCAAAGCTCTATAAAGAAATAAGAATGATCATTTTTGCTATTATAATAGAATTATGATAGGATATTTGGAGAGATGACGTGGTTCTTTTTTTTTTACTATTATGTTAATCACCATACATTACATCATTAGTTTTTGATGTAGTGTTCCATGATTCATTATTTGCGTATAACACCCAGTGCTCCATGCAGAACGTGCCCTCTTTAATACCCATCACCAGGCTAACCCATCCTCCCACTCCCCTCCCCTCTAGAACCCTCAGTTTGTTTCTCAGAGTCCATAGTCTGTCATGGTTTGTCTCCCCCTCCAATTTCCGCCCCCTTCATTTATTCCTTCCTGACCTGGTTCTATACCAGAGCTGTTTCCTTTGTAAGCTTTTCGGAATAATGTTGGACTGCTTGCAGACTGGTTGGTGTTGAAAAATAATCCATAGTGGGGAAAGACATGGAGATAGTCAATGGGCATAAAGACTTTTAAAATTGCAAATAATTATCCCAGAGTTGAAAATGGCAAGGGAGCAGGGCTTGGGAGAAGGGTGTGTAGGGGATTACTGTTAGATATTACAAGGTATTAAATTTACGATTTTTTTTTTAAGATTTTATTTATTTATTTGACAGAGAGAGACACAGCGAGAGAGGAAACACAAGCAGGGGGAGTGGGAGAAGGGGAAGCAGGCTTCCCGCAGAGCAGGGAGCCTGATGTGGGGCTTGATCCCAGGACCCTGGGATCATGACCTGAACCGAAGGCAGACGCTTAACGACTGAGCCACCCAGGCGCCCCAAATTTACGATTTTTTAAAAAGGTTTCTTGGGGCGCCTGGGTGGCTCAGATGGTTATGCGTCTGCCTTCGGGTCAGGTCATGATCCCAGAGTCCTGGGATCGAGCCCCGCATCAAGCTCCCTGCTCCACGGGAAGCCTGCTTCTCCCCCTCCCTCTGCCACTCCCCTTGCTTGTGTTCCCTCTCTCGCTGTGTCTCTGTCAAATAAATAAATAAAATCTTTTAAAAAAATAAATAAAAAATAAAAAGGTTTCTTTATTTTAGAGTGAGCGAGGCGGGACGGAGAGGGGCAGAGGTAGAGAGAGAATCCCAAGCAGACTCTGCACTGAGCTCAGAGCCTGACGTGGGGCTTGATCCCACAACCCTGAAACCACGAACTTCGCCAAAACCAAGAGTCTGACCCTTAACTGACTGCACCACCCAGGCGCTGCTTAAATTTATGATTTTTAAATTATGTGCATTATCTTGTTTGCTCTTCTAAATATTGTAATTCTCTGGATATAGAGACTCAGAAGTGTTTTTTGCTTTTCTTTTTTTAGTCTTCCTAGTGATGGTGATGAAAAATATGAGAAGACCACAATTAAAAGTGGAGATAAGATATTTTACAAATTCATGAAGAGAATTGCTGCTTGTCAGGAGCAGATTTTGAGGTAGAGGCACATTTTCTTTTATTGTTTTTCTTGATTACAAAAGCAATACATGTTAGTTTGGAAAATACTGGGAAATATAATGAGAAAACCAAAATCTAATTTCCACAAACTGAGAGGCTACGTTTTAGTGTATTATGTTCGCTTATTTTTTATACATTTGGACGTATGTACATGGGTAGGACTTGTGTGGGGTTTTTTGTTTGTTTTTTAAAGCTTTATTTATTTATTTTAGAGAGAGAGGGAGAGAGCATGAGCCAGGAGGGGGAGAAAGAATCTCAAGCTGACTCCAGGCTGAGCACTGAGCCTGATGTGGGGCTCGATCTCATGACCTGGAGATCAAGACCTGAGCCGAAACCAAGAGTTGGGTGCTTAACCAACTGTGCCACCCAGCCGCCTCAGGAAATATGTGTTTTTAAAAAACATAATTTGGGGGGCACCTGGCTGGCTCAGTCAGCAGAGCATGCAACGCTTGATCTCGGGGTTGTGAGTTCGAGCCCCATGTTGAGTGTAGAGATTACTTAAAAACTAAAAAAAAAAAACCCATAATTTGGATCATATACTGTGATTTTTTTTTTAAAGATTTTATTTATTTGACAGAGAGAGCGAGAGAGCACAAGCAGGGGGAGCAGCAGAGGGAGAAACAGGTTCCCTGCTCAGCTGGGCTCGATCCCAGGACTGAGATCATGAGCTGAGCTGAAGGCAGACGATTAACTGACTGAGCCACCCAGGTGCCCTAGTATGATTTTTTTTTTTTTTTTAAAGTAATCTCTACAATATCTTTTCAGTACATTGAGAACTTTGATTTTTTATTTAAGATTTTTTTTTAAAGATTTTATTTATTTGAGAGGAGAGGGAGAAAGAGAGAGCATGAGCAGGGGGAGGGGCAGAGGGAGAGGGAGAAGCAGATTCCCTGTTGAGCTGGGAGCCGGATGCAGGGCTCATCCTGGCACTCCGGGATCATGACCTGAGCCGAAGGCAGAGGCTTAACCAACTGAGCCACCCAGCTGCCCTCAACTTTTTATTTCCTCAGAACTTTCTCTCTAACCAAAGGTAACAATTTATTGTGTTTGATTTCCTGTGTTTTCTTGTAGGAGTTTTTGGTTTTAGTTTTTACATTTAGGGGTCTGTGATCCATTTTGAGTTAATTTTTGTATATAATGTATGAGGGTGAAGGTTCTTTTTTTGTATGAATATGCAATTGTTGCAACACCAGTTTCTATTACTGATCACTTTTGTCTCGCCTTTCAGTTACTAAGAGAGGAGTGTCAAAACTTTCAGCTATGATTATAGATACGTCGTCTTCTTTTAATTCTGTTAAAGTTTGTCCCATGCATTTTGGTACTGTTTTAAGATGTATGCACTTGTAGGATTATTTATCTGATGAATTGATCCTGTTATAATTATAAATAAATGTTGCTATTTATTTGTTGATGCTTCTTCCTTGGATTGTATTTGATCTCCTGTCGGTATAGCCACACTAGCTTTCTTTTGTTTAATGTTTGTATGGTTGATCTTTTTTATACTGTTTACTTTTAGCCTCTTCTTTTAAATATAGAGTGGTTTTTTTTTAAGTTATTTGATTTCTTTAAAGTAAAAAAGAAAAAAAAAAACCAGTTTACTTATTTCTCCCACCCTGATCCCTCAACTCTGGAAACCACCAATTTCTTCTCTATGAGTTTGGTTTGTTTTTTGTTTTTTTTAGGTCCTGCCTGTAAGTGATTTCACACAGTATGTCTTTCTCTGTCTGGCTTATTTCACTTAGCACTAGGCCCTGGAGGCCCATCCATGCTGTCGCAAATGTCAAGATTTCCTTCTTTATGGCTGAGTGTTCTGTTGTGTGTTGTATGTGTATATGTATGTGTACATGTATATACACACACAACACACACACGTACGCACACAGACCACGATTTCTTTATCCATTTATTTGTCGTTGGACACTTGGGTTGCTTACATGTCTTGGCTATTGTAAATAATTCTGCAGTGAACATGAGGCTAGTTCTCTTTCTTGAGTTCGTGTTTTTGTCTCCTTTGAATAAATACCCAGAAATGAGCGTGCTGGATCATATGGTAGTTCTGTTTCTAATTTTTTGAGGGACGTCCATACTGTTTGCCACAGTGGCTGCACCAGTTTGCATTCCCACCAACAGTGCACGAGGGTTCCCTTTTCTCCACATCCTCGCCAGCACTTGTTATTTTTTGTCTTTTTGATAATTGCCGTTCTGACAGGGGTGAGGTGATATTTAAAGTATACTTTTTAAACAGCTTATATATATGGGTCTTGCGTTTATTTTATCCAGACTGTTTGCTTTCTACATAGGGTCTTGAGTCCATTTAATGTAATTATTGGTGGCGGTGGGTTAATTTTGTCACTCTGGTATTGCCTTTTTTCCTTTTTAGTTTTTTTGTCCGTCTGCTCCCTTTTGTTTTAACCTTATTTTCAGTGAATTGAATATTGTTAATTTATGATTTTATGTCTTTCCTGTTGCCATAAACAGTGTTGCTTTAGTGATTATAATGTGCATCTTGGACTTCCTGCAGTCTGCCTTCACACAGTAGGTGCTACTTTATGAACTAAGAACCATAGCACAGAATCCTGTTTACCTTTCCCCTGCCCTTTGTGATCTTGTTTTCACATGTTCACTTCTCTATGTGCTTTATATCCCATAATGTATTATTATTTTTGTTTGAAATAATAGTTTTTAAGGATAATATATATACAGTAAAATTAAAAATAATGATTGGGGGTGCTTGGCTGGCTTAGTCGGTAGAGCATGCAGCTCTTGATCTCAGGGTTGTGAGTTCAAGCCCTGCATTGGGTATAGAGATTACTTAAAACAAAAAATAAAATCTTTTAAAAAATAATGAAAATAAAGATCAGAAGGTCTTTTATATTTATCGACCTGTTTACTCTTTTCGTGCTCTGCATTCCTTCATGCTGAGCTTCCATCTGGTATATCCCTTAAGTCTGAAGGACTTCTGATTTTTTTTTTTTTTTTTTTTTTTTTTTACAATGCAAGCTTAGGGCGCCTGGGTGGCTTAGGTGGTTGAACATCGGGCTGTTGATCTCAGATCTTGATTGCAGGGTTGTGAGTTCAAGCCTTGCATTAGGCGTGGAGCCTACTTAAAAATAAGTAAGTAAGTAAGTAAATAAGTAAAATAAAAATAAAGTGTGGGTTTGTTGGAGATAGCCATGAAGGTTTTGTCTACAAATGTATTTGTTAATATTTCTTTTAATAGACATTTTATTGGATATACAATTTGTTTTTTATTGCTTTCCATTCAACACTGGAAAGATTTTGTTCCATTGACTTGTTGCCTTTTAGTGTTTCTGTTAGAAATTAGCTGTAATTCTTATTGTTGTTCTTACGTTTGTTATATTTATGTAATTAAACTATTATGTACTTCAGTGACTGTATGTTTTAATATATCCTGCGTGGGATTTGCTGAACTTTTTGGATTTTTGCATTGATGTCTATTCATGAATTTTGGGAAAATGTTGGCCATTATCTCTTCAAATATTTTTTCTGTCCTTTTTCCTTTTTCTAGGACTCTAGTTACTTGTATGTTTAGACATACAATTTGAAATTGTCCCATGGTTTTTAAAGACCCTGTTTCTTTTTTTAAATTGTTTTCACTTTTTGTTTCATTTTGGATATTTCTGTTTTCTTCAGATTCACAGATTTTTTGTTGTTGTTTCCTACCTGCTGTTAACTTTTATTGAATGAAATTCTTTATTCAGCTACAGTGTTTTTCATTTCTAGCATTTCTCTTTCAGTTTCCATTTCTGTGCTGACTTCCTTATCTGTTTATGCATGTATACCTTTTCTGCTAGATTCTTTTATATGTTTATTATTATTATTTTAAAGATTTTATTTATTTATTTGATAGACACAGAGAGAGAGAGAGAGAGCACAAGCATGGGGAGCGGCAGGGAGAGGGAGAAGCAGGCTCCCCGCTAAGCAAGGAGCCCAGTGTGGGGCTCGATCCCAGGACCCGGGGATCATGACCTGAGCCGAAGGCAGATGCTTAACAAACTGAGCCACCCAGGTGCTCCTATATGTTTTTTTTTTTTTTTTTTAAGATTTTTTATTTATTTATTTGAGAGAGAGAATGAGAGAGAGAGAGCATGAGAGGGGGGAGGGTCAGAGGGAGAAGCAGACTCTCCAGTGAGCAGGGAGCCCGATGTGGGACTCGATCCCGGGACTCCAGGATCATGACCTGAGCCGAAGGCAGTCGCTTAACCAACTGAGCCACCCAGGCGCCCGCCCCTATATGTTTATTATGGATATTTTATTATTTGTTTGTTTTATCCCCCTTCCACTGACATTTTAAAGTCTTCTTCTGGTAACTCCACTCTTGTCTGTGGGTATTTTTTTTTTTTTTTTTTAAGATTTTCTTTCTTTATTTCAGAGAGAGAGTGCACAAGCAGGGGGAGGGACAGGCAGAGGGAGAAGCAGGCTCCCTGCTGAGCAGGGAGCCCATGAGGGACTTGATCCCAGGACCCTGAGATCATGACCTGAGCTGAAGGCAGCAGATGCTTAACCGACTGAGCCACCCCAGCGCCCCTGTGGGTATTCTTATATTGACTTTTTTTGTGGCTTAAATTTTTCTGCTGCTCTTGGGGCACCCGGGTGGCTCAGTTAAGTGTGCGACTCTTGATTTTGGCTCAGGTCATGAGACCGAGCCTGCGTTGGGCTCTGCACTGAGTGTGGAGCCTGCTTAGGGTTCTGGTTCTCTCTCTCCCTCTTGCTCTGCCCTCTGCACCCCCCCCCAGCTTATGCACACACTCTCTCTCAAATAAATAAATTAATTTTCTGCTGTTCTGTATATCTAATTTCTTTTTATTGTTTACCATTGTATGTTGAAGAACAGTAGATACTGAAGTAAATATTTACTCCTTAGAAGGGTGTGTCCCTTCTTCTGTAAGGCTAGTAGTATGGAGATCCAAGTCTGCTTACTCTGTGGTTGAGCTCTGTCTGGACTTTGTTGCAGTTGTAGTTAGATTTGGTTCAACATTGGCTTTAGTGCCTTCATCCAGACTTTGAATCAAACATTGACAAGACTTCAGATATCTTGCTGATCTCTACAGGCTTGCTGCTAGGTTTTGGGCCTTTGGATTTTCTTTGCTCTCTGGTTTTGCTCCTGGTACTCTGCAAGAAGGAAGCAAAGTTTGCAAAGCATGGTCTCTGATGTTGAAATGTGATTTGTGTATGGTCCTTCTTCAGGGTCTATTGTTTCCTTGCTCTAGGTATTCCTGGAGTGGAGAACCACTTTTTTTGACCTGCCCTACATCAGAAGTCACTGAGCTCCCAGCCTGCAGCCACTGTGGAGTCCAAAGGACATTTGAGTTTCAGCTTATGCCAGCACTGGTCAGCATGCTCAGAAGCACTAATTTAGGTAATAAGCCCTTTATTTTTTTATTTTTTATTTTTTAAAGATTTTATTTATTTGAGAGAGAGAGCACATGAGATGGGGGAGGGTCAGAGGGAGAAGCAGACTCCCTGCCGAGCAGGGAGCCCGATGGGGGACTCAATCCCGGGACTCCAGGATCATGACCTGAGGCGAAGGCAGTCGCTTAACCAACTGAGCCACCCAGGCGCCCCAATAAGCCCTTTATTAATTTGAGTTTGTGGATTTATTGCACTAATATGGAATTATTTTACAAGGAAAGGCTATCATTTCATTTTTGTTGACTTATAAAATGTAAGCATATTACAAAAAATTTGGGAAATTTATAATCCAACCAATCCAACACAAACACTGATACCATTTTGTCGGCTTTTTTTTTTTTTTTTTAAGATTTTATTTATCTGAAAGAGAGAGAGAGCACAAGCAGGGGGAGTGGCAGAGGGAGAGGGAGAAGCAGATTCCCTGCTGAGCAAGGAGCCGGCCGGGGGGGCTTGATCCCAGGACCCTGGGATCATGACCTGAGCTGAAGGCAAATGCTTAACTGACTGAGCCACCCAGGTGCCCCCATTTTGTCGGTTTAAGGCCAAGCTGTTTTCTGTCCTTAAAATTATTTTCATAGCGGGAGCCCCTGGCTGGCTAGGTTGGTGGAGTATGTGACTCTTGATGTCAGGGCTGTGAGTTCAAGCCCCACATTGGGGTAGAGTTTACTTAAAAAAAAGAAACAAACAAACAAAAAACTTAAATAGCATTGTACTATAGTCAAAATTTATTATTATTTAAAAAAACTGGGGGCGGAGGGGACAAATAACTTTTACAGGGGTACCTGGCTGGTTCAGTTGGAAGAGCATGTGACTCAATCTTGAGGTCATGAGTTTGAGACCCATGTTGAGTGTAGCGATTACTAAAAATTATTTTGAAAAACTTTAAAAATTAAAAAATGTTTTAAAAAATAATTTGGGACACCTGGCTGGCTCAGTTGGTAGAGCACGTGACTTGATCTTGGGGTTGTGAGTTTAAGCCCCATGTTGGGCATAGAGCGTACTTAAAAAAATTTAAAAATAAACTTAGGGGTGCCTGGGTGGCTCAGTTGGTTAAGCGTCTGATTTTGGCTGTGGTCATGATCTCAGGGTCCTGGGATCAAGCCTTGCGTTGGGCTCTGTGCTCACTGGGGAGACTGCTCGTCCCTCTGCCTCTCCCCCTGCTCATGCTCAAGTGCTCTCTCTCTCTCTCAAATAATAAAATCTCTTAAAAAATTTTTTTTAAATAACTTTTACGTGATTATAGTTATTATTTTGTCATCATTATATAGTCTTTCTAAACAAAAATTAAGTTTTTATAATAAAAGTAATGGGGCACCTGGCTGGCCCCGTCAGTAGAGCATGTGACTCTTATCTTGGTCATGAGTTCAGGCCACACACTGGGCGTAGAGCAGGGCTCACTCTTACAACCCTGAGATCATGACCTGAGCTGAAACCACGAGTTGGATGCTCAACCAACCAAGCCACCCAGGCACCCCTAAGTTTATTTTTTTAGTAATCTCTATCCCCGATTTTAGCTTGAACTCATAATCCCGAGATTGAGAGTTGCATGCTCTTCTGACTGAGCTGTTATATTAACGGTATTAATTCTTCTAATTCATCAACATGGATGTCTTTCCATTTATTTGTGTCTTTCATTTCCTTCAGTAGTGTTTTATAGGTTTCAGTTTTCAAGTCTTTTGCCTACTTGGTTAAATTTATTCCTGAGTATTTTATTTTTTTAATCTTTTTTTTTTTGGATTGATTGTTTATCCTGCAACTTTGCTGAGTGTATTTATGAGAGGCTGTGAAAGCAATGCTCAAAGAAAAAGTTAGAGTTGAAAACACATATGTTTAAAAACAAAGATCTCCAGGGCGCCTGGGTGGCTCAGTCGGTTAAGCATCTGCCTTTGGCTCAGGTCATGATCCCAGGGTCCTGGGATCGAGCCCCGCATCGGACTCCCTGCTGCGTGGGAGGCCTGCTTCTCCCTCTCCCACTGCCCCTGCTTGTGTTCCCTCTCTCGCTGTGTCTCTCTCTGTCAAATCTTAAAAAAATAAAAATAAAAAATAAAGATTTTATTTATTTATTTATTTGACAGAGAGAGAGACCCAGGACCCTAGGATCATGACCTGAGCCGAAGGCAGATGCTTAACCGACTGAGCCACCCAGGCGCCCCAAATAAAATCTTTAAAAAAATAAAAAATAAAGATCTCAAATCAGTGACCTAACATACATTGCAAGGAACTTAAGAACAACCAACCAACCAAAGGTGGCAAAAGAAAGGAAGAAATAAAGGCTAAAGCAGAGATTTCAAAGGAGAATATAGACACAATAGGAAAAATACATGAAACCGAATTTTTTTGTGTGGATATTTAGGTTTTTCTACATAGAAGGTAAAATCATCTGCAACAGAGATCATTTTATTTCTTCCTTTACAATTTTGCCTTTTATTTCTCTTTTTTTGCTTAATTCCTCTAAAACTTCTGTGTTGATTAGAAGTGGCAAAAGTGGGCATCCTAATCTTGTTCCTGATTGAGGAATTTCCCTTCTGTTTTTGGAGTTCTTTTTATCACTACAGGGTGTTGATTTTTGTCAAATGCCTTTTCTGCATCAATTGAGATGATCGTGCAGTTCTATTTATTAGCGTGTATTACATTGATTTTTGTATATTTAACCACCTTTGCGTGTTAGGGTAAATCTTACTGGATCATGGTGTATAAATCTTTTTTTTTTTTAAGATTTTATTTTTAAGTAATCTCTACACCCAACATGGGACTCAAGCTCAGAACCCTGAGATCAAGAGTCACAGGGTCTACCAACTAAACCAGCCAGGCACCCTGCTGTATAAATCTTTTTAATAAGCTCTTGGATTTTGTTTGCTAGTATTTTGTTGAGTATTTTTGTATCTTATATTTATTTATTTTTTTAAGATTATTTAAGCAACCTCTTTATCCAGTGTAGGGCTTGAACTCACAACCCCGAGATCGAGATCCTCATCTACCCACTAAGCCAGCCAGACACCTTGTATCTTACATTTATAAGGGATATTGGTCTATAATTTTCTTGTAGTGTCTTAGTCTAGACTTGGTATTAAGATAATGCTTGCCTTGGGGCACCTGGCTGGCTTGGTTGATGCAGCATGCAACTCTTATTTATTTACTTATCTAATTGGGTTTTTTTTATGTTTTTTTGTGTGTATGTTTCTGTATGTTTTTTTTTTTAAAGCAGGCTCCATGCACAGCACGGAGCCCAACATGGGGCTCGAGTTCAAAACTGAGCTGAAGGCCTGAGCTGAGATCAAGAGTTGGACACTCAACCGACTGAGCCACCTAGGCACCCCACATTCAACTCTTGATCTCGGGGTTGTGAGTTTGAGCCCCATGTTGGGTGTAGTGTCTACTTAGAAAATAAATTCCTTGTAGAATGAGTTAGTGATCATTCCCTTCTCTTTAGTTTTTTGGTGGAGTTTAGGAAGGATTGGTGTTCTTTGTTATTTTTTTTTTTTTTTAAAGATTTTATTTATTTATTCATGAGAGAGAGAGAGACAGAGGCAGAGGGAGAAGCAGGCTCCCCGCGGAGCAGGGAGCCCGATGCGGGACTCGATCCCAGAACCCTGGGATCATGACCTGAGCCGAAGGCAGACGCTTAACCAACTGAGCCACCCAGGCGTCCCAGGATTGGTGTTCTTTGAATGTTTTGTCATATTCACTAGTTAAACCATCTAGTTCTTGGCTTTTGTGTTGTTGGGTGATTTTTGATTACTGGTTCAATCTCCTTACTAGTTACAGGTCTGTTCAAATTTTCTATTTCTTGAGTCAGTTTTGGTAGATTGCATGTTTTGGTAGTTTGTCCATTTCATTTAGGTTATCTGATTTATTGCTATACAACTTATAATACTTTTTTTTCTATAAAATTAGTAGTAATGTCCCTACTTTATTTTTGATTTTGGTGATTTGAGTCTTCTCTCTTTTTTTTCTTAGTCATTCCAGGTAAAGATTTGTTGACTTTCTAGATTTTTCTCTATTGTTTTATAGTCTGCATTTTTAAAATCTCTATCTTTTATTTTTTCTTCTGCTAGCTTTGGTTGGTTGGTGGTCTTTTCTAATTCCTCAAGGTATACAGTTAGGTCATTGATTTGAGATCTTTGTCCTTTTTTTTTTTTTTAAGTTTTATTTATTAGTTTGAGAAATAGTGAGCAAGTAAGGGGAAGGGCAAAGGGAAAGTGAGAATCCTGAAGCAGACTCCCCATTGAGCTCAGAACCCCACACAGGGCTTGATCCCAGGACCCTGAGATCATGACCTGAGCTGAAATTAAGAGTAGGCACTTAACCAACTGAGCCACCCAGGCACCCCTCTTTGTTTTTAATGTATGTGTTTGTGCTTCTAATTTTCCACTTAGCACTGCTTTTACTACATCTGATAAGATTTGGTATGTCGTGTTTTTGTTTTCATTTGTCTCAAATAAATATTGTCTAATTGCCCTTAATGATTTCTTCTTTGACCTCTTGGTTATTTAAAAGTGTTTTATTTAATTTCCACATATTTGTGAATTTTCCAGTTTTATTACTTATTTCTAGTTTCATATCATTGTGATTAGAAAAGATAACTTTGTGTGATTTCAATCTTTCTAATTTATTGAGACTTACTTTGTGGCCTAACATATGGTATATCCCAGAGAATATTCTACGTGCACTTGAAAAGAATGTGTTTACTGCTGTAGTTGAGTGGAGTGTTCTGTATGTGCCTGTTCTTTTTTGGGGGGGGGGGCATGTGCCTGTTAGTGGTAATTGATTTATAGCCTTGTCAAAACCTTTGTTTCTTTATTGATCTTATGTTTGGTTGTTTCATCCATTACTATAAGTAGGGTATTGAAGTCAACTATTATTGTAGCACTATTTTTCCCTTCAATTCTGTCAGTTTTTGCTTCATACATTTTGGGCCTCTTCATATAGAAGTATATATGTTTATAATTGTTATACTATGTGCTTAGAATATATTTTTCTATCCTTTTTCTTTCATTCTCTTTGTGTCCCTGTATCTAGAGAGTCTCTAATAGATAGTGTACAGATGGATCTTTTTTTTTTCTTGTTATATCCAATCTGCCAGTGCCCTTTTTTAATGGAGCTTAATCCATTTACATTTAATGCCATTATTGGTAAAGAAGGATTGACTTCTGCCCTATAGCTATTTCTTTTCTGTATGTCTTATAATATTTTTGTTTCTCAATTAATTCTTCCATGACTGACTGTTTCTTTCTTTTTTGTATTTAGGTGATTTTGGAGGGGTGGGTTGTATAACATTCAGATTCCTTTTCATTTTTTTAGTTGCTCATTTAGTAGTTACTTTGGGGATTACAGTTAACATCTTAAAATTATAACAATGTAGTTGAATAATACCAACTTTGTTCTCAATAGTATACAAACACTCTGCTTCTGTATACTTCTTTGTTCCTCACTTTTTTTTTTAAAGATTGTATTTATTTATTTGACAGAGAGAGACACAGTGAGAGAGGGAACACAAGCAGGGGGAGTGGTAGAGGGAGAAGAAGGCTTCCCGCAGAACAGGAGGCCCGATGTGGGGCTCGATCCCAGGACCCTGGGATCATGACCTGAGCCGAAGGCAGACACTTAACGACTGAGCCACCCAGGCGCCCTCTTTTTTTTTTAAGATTTTATTTTTAAGTACTCTCTACACCCAACGTGGGGCTCGAATTTACAACCCCAGGATCAAAAGTTGCATGCTTCACCTACTGAGCTAGCCAAATGCCCCAATATTACCTCATTCTTTTAGCATCCTGTGTTGCTATAGAAAGCAGTCCCATTCTGACTGTTAGTCCTTTGAATGGGAACTCTTGCTTCCAGGTCACTTTTAGAATCTTCACTTTATTCTTGTTATTTTGAAATTGTATATATTGTGCTGAGTACTTGATAGGTGTTTTGAGTTCAGAAACTCATGTCCTTCAACTTCCTTGATGATTTTCTTCCTTTTTTTTTTTTTGTTGTACCTTTATGGGAACTTCTGTTTTGATTCTGTTCTTTTTTGTTTTGATTTTTGTTTCACTTTCCAGTTTTCTTCAACTGTGTACTTTATTCATCTTTTTAGTTGTGGTAAAAAAAAAATATATATATATACATATATAACATAAAATTTAGCATCTTAACCATTTGTAAGTGTGCAATTTAGTAATGTTAAGTTTATTCAGATTGTTATGCAGCCATTCTCCAGAACTTTTTCCTCTTGCAAAACTGTAACTCTATGACCGCTAACAACTCCCCATTTCCCCCTTTCCTCAGCACCTGGCAACCACCGTTCTACTTTCTGTTTCTATGAATTTGACTACTTGAGATACCTCATATAAGTGGAATCATAGTATTTGTCCTTTGAGACTGCCTTATTTCACTTAGCATAAGGGAGGTTCATCCATGTCATACCATGTGTCAGAATTTCCTTCTTTTTTTTTTTTTTTAAAGATTTTATTTATTTATTTGAGAGAGAGAGCACATGAGAGGGGGGAGGGTCAGAGGGAGAAGCAGACTCCCTGCCGAGCAGGGAGCCCAATGCGGGACTCGATCCCGGGACTCCAGGATCATGACCTGAGCCGAAGGCAGTCGCTTAACCAACTGAGCCACCCAGGCGCCCACAATTTCCTTCTTTTTTAAAGCTGAATAATACTCTGTAGTATGGATCTACCACATTTTGTTCATCTGTTCATTTGTTGAACACTTGGGTTGCTTCTGCTTCTTGGCTATTGTGAATATTGTTGCTATGATTATAGGTGTACAAATCTCTCTTCATGATCCTGCTTTCAGTTCTTTTGGATATATATACCAGAAGCAGAATTGCTGGATCATATGGTAATTCTATTTTTAATTCTTTGAGGAACCACCATAACATTTTCCATAGTGGCTGCACCATTTTATATTCCCAGTCAACAGCGCACAAGAATTTCAATTTCTCTACATCCTCACCAACACTTGTTTTCCGTTTTTTTGTTTTTTGTTTTGTTTTGTTTTGATAATAACCATCCTAATGGATGTGACGTATCTGCTGTGGTTACAATTCGCATTTCCCTAATGATTAATGATGTTGAGCATCCGAATGGCTTGTTAGCCATTTACATATCATTTTAGGAGAAATGTCTACTCAAGTCTTACTGTTCATTTTGTAGTCAGGTTATATGACTTTTTGTTATTGAGTTATAAGAGTTCTTTTTATATTCTAGATATGAACCCCTTATCAGGTGTGATTTTTGCAAATGTTTTCTTCCATTTTGTAGGTTCCCTTTTCACTGTTGTGTCCTTTGGTGCACCTAAGTTTTTAATTTTGATATAGCCCAGTTTGTCTATTTTTACGTCTGTTGCCTGTGCTTTTGGTTTTATATTCAGGAAATCCTTGCCATGTACTTCCTTTTAAAAAGGAAGCACACGGGGCGCCTGGGTGGCTCAGTCGTTAAGCATGTGCCTTCGGCTCAGGTCATGATCCCAGAGTCCTGGGATCGAGTCCCACATCGGGCTCCCAGCTCAGCGGGGAGCCTGCTTCTCCCTCTGACCCTCTCCTCTCTCATGCTGTTTCTCTCTCTCTCTCTCAAATAAATAAATAAATAAAATCTTAAAAAAAAGAAAAAATTCTAAAGACAGGAAAATTCAGTATATACTAATTAAGAATATTGGAATAAATGTGTGCAAATTCAACATAAGGAAAAGTAAGTGTATGTGAAGCAGTTGCTGGATTTAGGCAGTGGGTTCTTTTACCTAGTTTCTAAACGATCCTTCTGAAGCTAAGAGAATTACATTCATTCCGTTTTTCAGTTTGAGATCATATGTATTTGGCTTTTTACTATAATAAGGAAATTTATGTCCTGCTCTACCTCCAAATATTGTAGTTTGTTTTTTTTTTAAGTTTTTTTTTTTTATTTCTTCAAGTAATCTCTGCACCCATTGTGGGGCTTGAACTTACAACTCCGAGATCAGGAGTCACATGCTCCCCCAACTGAGCCAGCCACATGCCCCATTTTAGTATTATTTGTACTTCATTGAGGTTTATAAGTCTGTACTCTGTCACCATGATTGTCACAGCTAATAAGCTTTTGTTCTGTGTTTCAGTGGTTTGTATGTTCACACCATTCTTTTCAGTGAGCTTTTCCATTCCTGAATCTTTTATTTTGATTCTTCTCTGGCAGCTACATTCTATCAAGTGATAGCCTTAAGGAGGGCTTATAGTGGTTATTCTTACTTCAGAATGTCTGCCTTTGTTTTGAAGGACAACCCATGTATAAAATCCTGAGGTCCCGTTTTCTTTCCTCCCGACGGTGGTAGACCTGCTGCCGTCATGTCCTCACAGTGAGAGCCCCTCTGGCTCTCCTGTCATCTGCCGTGGCCCCGTTTCACAGAGAAGTACATTTTTCTCCCAATCCCTGAGATCCTTTATATTGAGATCTTTAGGCTGTGAGTGAAGTCTGAGGGTGGCCTGATTCCCCCCCACTTTGTAACCAACGTTTATGCTAGCACCTGTAGATTGTTCTTTATTCCTGAAGTCCAGTCTCTGAACTAGCGTATCTTGCTGTTGCATTGTTCCATAATCCTTTCATCCTGGGACAAGGTGGATTTTCAGACCTGCATTTAGTTTTTCTTTCTTTCTTTCTTTCTTTTGAATTTCTGAATATTTTTTCTGTTGCACGTGTAGCTTTTCTGAGAAGCAGTAACAGTTGTGTTGGTCACCTTTCTTCTCCTGTACTCCCATCTTTCCTCTTTCCCTCTGCGTTCACTGCCATTCTCTTAAGCCTTCCCTTTCTACCTGTAATTACATTTCACCTGTCTTTCCTGTTCCTTGTGGCCTATGCTGTTTCTCATTAGATGCATACTGGGGCTGTTTTGACCTCCACATAGTTTCCTCTTTCTCAGTTTCCTCTTTCTCCTACCCCTCCCTCGCCCTTCTATGCCAGGGCCCTGGGCTCAGGCCTCATGTTCAGTACTCCGCTGTTTGGTATTTTGTTCCATCTGGTTCCTTGCCGCTGCTCCTTTGCTACCCTGGTGGCTACCAGTTCCCAGACTGCAGCCACCTTATGCCCTCTGCAAAGTACATGTTGCATATTCTGCTTGGAAGTTATCTCAAATTCACCAGGTCATTTCTCCCAAATCAGCTCTGTTTTGGCCTTGTTAGTTCTGTCTTTGGTGCTTTTCTTTCCATTATCCCTGCCTGCATTTTCTTTTCAAAGTGTTTGTCCTGGGGCGCCTGGGTGGCTCGGTCGTTAAGCGTCTGCCCTCGGCTCAGGTCATGATCCCAGGGTCCTGGGATCGAGCCCCGCATCGGGCTCCCTGCTCCGCGGGAAGCCTGCTTCTCCCTCTCCCACTCCCCCTGCTTGTGTTCCCTCTCTCGCTGTCTCTCTGTCAAATAAATAAATAAAATCTTAAAAAAAAACAAGTGGTTTTCCTTTGCTGCTCCAAACCAGTTGTCTAGCTCCTCATGTTGACTTGTTTCACCGTTCTGGTATCAGCAGGAGTTCTTGCTGATCATGTTTTCTTGGTGTTATTCTTCATGGCTCTGTACATTGATAAATTTCTGTAAGCACTTAGGATTTGTGTGTGTGTGTGTGAGAGAGAGAATCCTTTTTTGGAGGTAGTGTGTTCTCTTAGCGTGATATTTATTTATGTATGTGTGTAAGTTAAGTAAGCAAGCAAGCTCCACACGCAACTTGGGGCTCGAATCATGACCCCGAGATCAAGAGTCACATGCCCAACCCACTGCCTGAGCCAGCCAGGAGCCCCATGAAATTTTTTTTTAAGATTTTATTTATTTATTTATTTTAGAGAGAGAGAGAGAGTGTGAGCAGAGGGAGAAGGAGAGAACCTCAAGCACAGTCCGTGCTGAGCTTGGGGCCTGACACAGGGCTCGATCTCAGGATCCTGAGATCATGACCTGAGCCGAAATCAAGAGTTGGACGCTTAACTGACTGAGTCACCCACGAACCCCCCC